AGATGTTGTGTTGACATTGTTGACTGGTGCATTTTCTTGCAAACTGGAGAGAACTTTATTGGGTTTGGTTGTAATTGATGAAGCTGCTTAGACACTTAAAATAGCATGCTGGATAGCTCTACTAAAGGTAATGATGTGCTGAAAATACATGTAAAGCTCTTACCCTGATAAAGTGATGTTAGTTGCACCTGCCATGCTTATTCATGTTTTGAAGGTCAAGATGTATCCTTGCAGGAGACCATGTTCAGCTTCCCTGAGAGGAAAGGGTTGGGAAGAACCTGTATGGAGATGAAATCAGGTCTATGATTAATGTAATCAAATTTGTTACAATCATTTATTGACCTAAGCTTATATGAAAACAATAATCCTAATTAATTTGTCTGTACAGCTCACATATTGTAGGATGAAGGATGCCCTATACAATCAAGGGTGTGCTGCCGATCTAGTTGCTGTTATGTCTGGAGAAAGACCGTCCATGTTCACTGGCTCCTTTAATCCTTATCTTGATTCCTCTCAGGTGTGTAATTATTTAGCAATCTTGATTTCGTCCGGTTTGGTTCTTTTGGCTTTGGTGTAAATAACAACCTACACTAGTTGTCTTTGTTGAGAAATGAATACTAATCTAGTTATGTTCCTTGGTGAAGTGCTAAAATTAGCTATTGAGGTCTTCTACTTGTGCCTATGGTAGCAGGAATGAACATTTCTTTTCTTTTCCGACAATTTGGTGTGCACAAGTATTAGAATAAATTCACATCCTACCTCAACAAGAAACATCTCAAATGTTAAAAGAGACAACACTAATAAGTTCATTGATTTACTTCTGGAGTAGGGAGGTCCCTAAGTTATTCTAAGAAATTTTGCTCTGTACAAGTTTATTTTGTAAATTTGTAAAAGGTTCACATTTGACATGCTTCAGATATAACATGGTATATAAAAAAGGATGATGAAGATGGGACATTGAGTGAAGATGAAGCTGAGAGTGCTATTTTACAAGGATGTTGAAATCTCAACTGTTGATGGTTTCCAAAGTTCAGAGAAGGAAGCCTTTGTCATTTCCATGGTTCGACCAAACAAAACCAATTAAAGAGGTACCCTAAGGTCTTGTTCTATTTTTCTTTTCCCAATTGTTAGAATTCTAAGTTGGAAATAAAATTTTTGGCATTTTAAATATGTTTAGGTAGGGTTTCCAAGTGACTGTAGGCGAATGAACGTGGCTGCAACACAAGTGTCTATGACACAGAAACATTTGTTGATGGATTCTTAAACTTTATTTGGCTGAGCACTTTGAGGAGCATGATGAGTATCTAAGTGGCTTTGGATTCTGTAATTATTTCTTTGCAGCGGCCTGCTTAAGTGTCTATACTGTGGTGTTGGGTTTGAGAACCCCTTTGTGCTTTCATTCAATGAAATCAAAATAGGGATGATGTGTGTATTTTAAATATTGGGGTTGACATTGACGGTTGATATACAATAGCTATTGCAAGTTGTCCTGAGAAGTATCAGATCTGGAATTGGACTAGATGTTGAGAGATGTATTGAAATTTGAGTATGAATTGATGTTTGAAGTCATTTGTAAGGATCTCATTTTATTTTTCGAAATCAACTGCCGATGTTTTTTTATGTGAAATTTAATAGCTGTCTAATCAGAGAATCCACAATGGAAAGGATTCAGGTGTTCAATTTTAACATTTAAAGTATACAGCAGCAGAGGAGAAAGTAGGAATGGCGGTGGAGGTAGAGGAGGAAATCATCTGCTATCACGCTCTAGAACTTCATCTCAACCATGACTCCTTTACTCGATTTGGACAAGTTTCTTTCTTCCATTCTCTTCTACTTTCTGACTCAATCGCACTAGTGACTGCTTATTCTTTGCATGTTGTCGCTCTGCAACAGTTTTGCTATGGTGAGACCAAATTGGTGTTTTGATAGCCATCTTTTTTGTGTTTATTGATAGCTTGTCTCTTTAAAGACTTAGAAATAGGAGTACTTGTTAGTGGAGTGAATAGAAAATCTGATTGTTGGGGTTTTGGGACCTTGGGATATGGAAGAATAGAATGTCTTTTTCACATGCACACCAAGTATTCGATCAATTGCCTGAATGGATTTTCAGTTGTCTTCCTAATTGGAATAGAGTTATGCTACATTAATGTACAGGGGTTCGAATAAAAGTCCCTTTTTGCTGGTCAAAATATTATCGGCTGTTGGTTCAGAAATGGGTGTCTGTGCTCTATCATCCAGTTTCAACAAATTAAAGAATTTCCAATAATTGCTCAATTCAACTTGCCTTGTTTCTAAACCCATTTTCCAATATTGAAGGAGATCTTTTAATCTTATTTGTTTCTAAACCAGTCATTTAGTCTGGTACCCGTGATGCAATAGCTTTCCAAACAATTTGAGTATATATGTGTGTGCGTTCCTTGAGGGTTAGAACTTCTTTTCCTAGTGCGTGAATTGTGTTGAAAATAAACTTGAAAGCTGAGGCTCTCTTAAGGTCTGTACGTATTTTGCTGCACAACTTTGCCTAATTTATCGTGTATTAAGCATTTTAGTTTAGCTATCTTGGCTGTCTATATATCTTCTCAATTTTCATGATTTATCTGAAGATGATTTAAGCAGGAAATCTGAGAATAGTCAAATCAACGAAAGGATTAATTATCTTCTGTCTTTAACCTTAATTTGTCTTTACAAAGTCAATCTCACTTTTTAATTCTAATTCTTCCAAGTAAAGATAGATTTGTATTTAAATCAAATATATTTTTGTTGTTCCTTTAAGCTATTGAAGGTTGATGGCGTTTGCTGGCATTGATAGTGTTGGTGAGAATCCAATGTAACCAATTGTAGAAGTATTAGGTATTGACAAGTCGAAAGTTGCAACAACGTAAGCTCCAAGGATATTTCTGCTATTAAGGATGAGGGAATGTTTGATTGAATCCTGAAGGAGCAAAGAGGAGACACTCAACAAGGTCATTCCTCCGAAATTAAAACCTTTTGAAATTGGATGACTTGCCTGCACTGAAAAGCATTTGTAATGTGACAATAGTACCATTAAGCATGTGATTCCCTTGAAGGGATTAGGAATGTTGATTGCGAGGCCTAAGGAGGATCCCTCTTTATCTTTCCTTGCTTAATGTTGGCCAACCATTTACTCCTTCATTCAAAAGAGTTCATGGTATACATCTAGAAGAATGGTGGGAATTGTTAATTAGTAATGTTCACATGTAAATTTTGAATTATTATTCTAAGTCAATTAAATTTTTTTATAGAAATTAAATGTTTTTACTTAAAAGTTAAAAGTAAAAAGAAATTACTTTCAAATATTTAGAATCTCTATAAATAATACTATAGTATAAAATTGAAACATGACTTATTGTACTAGTTATATAGTTTTAAATTGACAAATCTAGATCATTAACTATAAAAAGTCTACTCTAAGTCAATCAATTAGTGAGACAATTAATTTTTTTATTGAAATAACTATAGTTACAATGTTATTTAATTTTTTTATTTGATATAATATCATATAATATTATAAGTTAATAACGTAATATATTATTATTTAATTAATTTTTTATTTAAAAATTTATTTATAATATTATATTTATTTATTTAATATTAT